GAAAGAAACTGTTTGGGGCTGCGTCAGTGGGAGTAACGAAATAATTTGGATATATCAACAAAGTTGAAATGGTAAATTGGCCACTGTAACGATTACAAAAGCTGACCTTTTTTAGGCGTCAGCCCTTCGTCGTTTCGATCGTTAGCCCTTTGGTCTGACGAAGGGCTAACGCTCGAAACGTCAGCTTTTGTACACAATAAAGGCTTTTTTTACATGGTGCTCTTTTTTCCAAGACTGTGGCCCGTGGTTAGTACTGTCAACTTCAAACTGACCCTAAGCATTCATTGAACAATGCAAATAACCTTTGCAGGAGCATTTCCACTATTGGAATCAAAAAAGCCAAGGTTTTTCCAGATCCGGTAACCTGAAATTTAGAAGTTAACTCTTTCAATCACTATAAATCAACAATCAGTATTATTCTCAGTAATTTAATAATTGATCAATAAATGTGGATCTTGCATCTGCTTCACATTTTCCATGCTTAGCAGAAAAATTTGGCCCACAGTCTTAACCATTTACTCCCTAAGGTCAGTATCCATATTCTCCATACTCAGTACTCTATACATTTCTTAAGGTGCTAAAAAGGAGAATTTGTTTAACAATCAAGAGCTTCTTTAGTTGGTGATCATTTACATAATTCTCGTTACCTTAATGCATGATTCAGGGGTGACATTGTAAGGAGAATATAGAAGTTAGTCACTCTTATGGGCAAAAAGGTTCACTGGCACAACTCTGAACATGTCTATCATTTAATGAACTTGAATCAATACAACAAGACAACAGTCCACACAAGTCATTGTGAATTAGCAAGAATCTTCCATTGTGAGAGGAAGAGCTCTTAAGCAATGTTTGTGTCAACTCTTCAGGGCACTAAATTCGCACTTTCAAAAATATTCAAAACACCTCCCGCAAAAATGATCTTGGAAGCTAAAATTTGTTTTCAAAAATGGGAATGAAGGTAGCGGTACTTAGTAGGAGAAAAATAGCCTGCACAGCAGGGATAACTTTGGCAGGCAAGTGCTCACTATTAGCTTGGTGAAACTCAAGGCTACCATATTTGGTTTTTAAAGTAACAGAATGAATGGCCAATCTGCTTCATGTCACTTGTGAGAAAAATAAAGATGGTGAAAACTGTCAAAGGCAAAAGTGTCAAATTTGATTTCACTCTCAAGGAGGCTTTAGCCTGTGTGCAGTCTAAAAAAAAATTAATTTTTTAGGGCAGGAAGCAGCTGTAGACAGACTAGAAGAATCTCTCAAATGTTCAATGGAACCTGGTTTGTCTTGCACATTGCGAGAAGAGCAAAAAGACGTAATTACTACACTTGTCTCTGAAAAAGGTCTACTGGTAGCATCACTGATTGGTTTCAGGAAGAGCTTGATATTTGATATTTCAGATGCATGTTTGCATCAAATAAATTATGGCAGGTAAACCTTTGAGTGTAGTTGCTTGTCTGCTTCAAAGTAGCATTTTAAGATCAAATGGAAAAAACATTCTCAAAGGGATTAATGGTACCTACACACAGGGATTGTTGTTTGGGAAATATAGAGTGTAGAAATATAAGCTCGTACTTGTGACGATGGGGGGTGGGGGGGGGGGTTGTTAAAGCCACTTCTTTCCTGGCTTAAAAAACTACCACACCACTTCACTCGTCGGTTTTAAGTGTGTTTGTTTTTGTCATAAAACAGTGCTTCCAGTTTTTAACAACGTATATGTTGTTTTAGTATCTGGCAGCTGCCATATTTGTGCCCTTCAGAGGGAAACAAACTTGGTGTCTCCATGCAAAGACTTATAAATTTGAGTAAAACATTTTTTTTAAATAGCGCCTGCATGAAACATCACACAGACCTGAATCTTTCCTGGACTATTTGAAGATTCATCGTGTTTTATCTCTTTGATTCTCCACTTCATTTGTTGAATGGTTTTGATGATGGTATGACAGTGAAAATGGGTAACACCATTTTCCTTTATTTTGGGTCCTTTGTTTTTAGCTCCAATAACTCAAAACCTTTTTCAATTTCCCTTGAAGGTTTGAGTTATAAAGATTCAACTGTACCTGACACCATTTCACTTGAATTCCCAAAGGTTTGAGGTAATAGCATAAACAAGCATTATTATTACTGTGTTAAAGTTATTCTATCATCACTATTATAATACACAACAGTACTTCAACCAGTCTTTTTTCCCAAGATCAATTAAACTTTGGAAATCTCTCTCCCGAACTGAAACAAGCCAAAACTGTCAAAACCTTCAAATACTCTCTCCTACTTCGCCATATAGACAAAACGGACAAGCACATTCCGCCCTAGCTTCTAACCTGACTTTTATTGGCTTTTAAATATTGTTTATGAATAATACTGTGATTTTATTGCTGTAATTTGTTAGGGGAGCAAAGGTCAATTGGGGCGTGCACTGTTTTTTTTTTTTTCTCCTACCTTTTGTGGTACCTTTTTATACATATTTTTGTGTTGTATGTTGGCGAACCTCAATAAACTAAACTAAACATCAATTCTCATTTGGTTCAAATTACACCACAAATTTTTCAAACTGGTTACCGAACATTATCGACTCCAAAACAAATAAAAAAACTTAATAAGTCACCTAATTATTTTAAATAAATCAAACAAATACAGGGCTCTCAGTGTAACGGTACCTACCGCCTCAACTGCAACATCTTTGTTTGACATAAACAGTGGAATTGTGGCTGCCTGTGTAACAAAGAAAAAGGGTAAACCAAAACATATTCTGTTAGACAAAATTTACACAATTCCTTCGCCTACCTGTACTGGTGTCATCTTTTGGAAGCCAAACTTGTCCATGATATCTAAAACTGAATTGGATAAACTTGGACTAAGTTCGCTCCACGTGGTCGCCATCTTGAAAGTTGAGTACTACGTGGTGTAATAGTCATATGATGATCCTGGACATATGATTGCATTGGATAACACAATGATTGATCTGAAAGCCAATGATTCTGTAATTCCAAGAAATGGAATTTAGCCTTCATCCAAAAAATCGTCCCCATATATATTTGAGAATGATAATATCTTGGTCCGCGTGCCATGCTCCCATGCAGATTCTTAAGGCCGTCCTAATGCCATTACATGAACAGCATCACTTCGCAGCTGATAAATCAACAATAAACTTTGTGGCATCCTAATTTTAGAACGGCTAGATTTAATTGGTTCGATTTCACTCAACAGTGACGCCTTGCCCCTAAAATGAAAATCCTAAAGTTGAGAAAAGAATTATCTACCCAGGATTTTCGAGACCGTCCCTCAAAACTGTTTTTTGCACTTTTCCTGTAACATTACCAAATTAATGACAAATGCTATGCCACACCCACTAATTCAACGTTCCATCCCATCCATCCAACGTCATTATAACCATCTCGGCTGTTCTAATATTGAGAAATCTAAGCACGTGTTGAGCTAAATGACTTCTCTCCCTGACCAAGTCCCACAGTGCTTTCTGGCCTACGTAGTTATCAAAAAGAAGAAAGGGAGTGATCTCTTTTACAGCAGGTGGGCTAATGGATGATACTTCAAAACTATAGGCTTACCTAAGGGAAAATAGTCATTTGGCTATTCGCAGCTGTATGCATGATTTTTAGAATGCGGATCCTTTATTAGGCATGCAATAAAATTTTCAGGAGTGGAGAAATACCTGATTAACGTTTATTGAACATTTAATTCATTCTTTGCTTGTCATAAAGCTAGAGTGGGGGAGTTAACATACCCGTCTTAGCAATGCTTTCTAAACATAAACTTTCCAAGAAAAGGAATGATGAATGAAGGGAAAGTTCGTGGAAAGATAACTGATTATAAAAATAAAACACTACCATTCCATCATGAATAAGTTATTTATTATTCAACTTAGCATATGCCAATACTGTGCTTGTATCACAAATTTGTGGAACATTTCATCTTGCAAACATGTTCTACTGTCAAGCTCCCAAAAAGAAAAACTCCAAATAAGCAGAAGTATCACAACACTCTAAAAGTAGCTGCATCCACAGAAAAGTCGGTAAATAGCACACTGAATATTTTCCATTATATGATAGGCTGAATCCTACCCGTCATTCAATTGGTTCTTACTCACGATCTGTTGGACGACAGATGCATAGATGACATTGCCATTAACAACCTTTTGGCTTCTTCATCAAATAAAACAAGTAGATGTCATTTTGCTGCAGATTTGTACAGATTAGATCACAGAAGACATCAAAATGCGCTGAGAGCATGCTCCTCAAAATGCTCCTCAAAATGGACTAAGAGCATGAGCCACTCTTTTGTTCTAACTACATTTTGACATCATCTATGATCTTTTACTGAACAGACGCATTGCAACATGGATTCTATCCGTTACCCTGAAGACAATGAGGAATTAAACCTTAAACAGTACATGACTTAATTAAGGGAGGCAACAAAAGAAAGATGAGCAGAACTCTGTTTTTGTGTAGGTTATACCACTTACATCTGACTTTGATGGAAATATTGTGAGAACATGTTTCAGTTCCCATAAATGGTGATCACAAAGATGCTCCTAAAACATCTACAGTTTGGATGAGCACTACTTTCAAGAATCTATAATCAGGGCTCAACACTAACTTTTCAACTAACTTAGCCAAGTGGCTGGTGACATCTTAGATGTTTTTAGATGTTACGACAATTACAGTCTGTTTACTAGCCAAACTGGCTAGTGCAAATTGAAAACCACTAGCCAAAACTGAATTTCTACTAGTCTGTGGCTAGTGGGCTACCATTAGTGTCAAGCCCTGACAATACTTCAAATCCTCTTCACATGATATCACTGTACTGAAATTTCACTTTCAAGATTCTCCAAAATGTTTCGCAGAAATATACTAAATTTTTCTGAAGGAGACCTTTACTCAGAAGCGAGAATTTCCTTAATCCTTTAAATCCCAGATAGAATGAATGAGTAACTTCTCCTTGTTGATTTCAAGACATTATCCTGCACGCAGATTATCAGAAAAGCCAAGTTCATCATTCTAAGAGTGTTATCTTGACACAACACTGTATTCTCTTAACCTAAGTACAAGGAAATGTATGGCAATAGGTGAAGAAAATTACTAGACAAATTATGGGAGTTAAAAGGGTTAACAGTCAGGAATTAGCCTTGAGGCAAAGCCAGAGAAAAATAACAGACAAAAATCTTGGGTTAAAGTTATTGACTTTGACAGCATTGGGCGATTAAATCCAAATGATTCCAGTGTATAGCAAAAAAAAAAAAAGAAAAATTTACAAAGCTCTCAACTTTACAATTATACACAGGAGGTCACATAATGTCACTAACACCTATTGCTGTCAGTAAGATACAAGAATTTCTCTTGTATTAAGTTCTCTGAGTTTTAAGTTTAATACTAAATGCAAAAAAAACAGTAGCAGCATTAGGACAGAGAATCAAACTTCACTAAAAGAAAAAAGCTTGCTAAAAATGGAAATGTATAAAATAAGACCCTGATGCCTTCACTGCATAATTTATTTGCTGCTGCCACATCAATAAAAAACAAGTTATCAAGCAGACACACATACAAGTTAGTCCTTTGACAGATAACTCTTCAAGACATCTTCAACCATTTTCTAATCTACTCTTTTGCATCCTCACCCTCAATATCTTCCACTTTTGTATCATCTTTCTCCACTAAGAATTAAACAAGAGACAACAGAGTAAATAAGTAAATAAAAGTTAGGTCTTTTCTTGAGCCTAATGGACTACACCATCACTATTTGCAGCAAGAAGCCACAAGAAGTTTTACTACTCCACCAAATGAGATGCTTATTTAATGGGAACCTAACTCCTATGAGTCACTGGCTTCCAGCTTCTTATTTCTACTTACAGTATCACCCTAGAATCACACATTAGGATCATGAAATTAAATAAACTCTTGATTGTTACACAAATTCTATGAAAATTGACTTTACTTTGCAAAAACAATTTTTTTTTCGGTTTGGGATTTTCTCAAAGTAATTTTTGAGACTTTCAGAGCAAACAGGAAAAAAAAAAGAACACCATTTTCAAAATTTCTTCCTCCCTTGATCATATATTTACATAAGGGTGGATATTTCAAGTCAAAGCAAAGAGGAAGAGTACATAATGTCCCTTGACCTCCCTGTTGGGTTTTTCAGTTACTTGAATAAAGGACAGATTTGTGGTTTTGAAATTTTCACCATTGGCTCATTTCCTTCTGCTGGAAAAATTTGGCCAATTAGAAACTACCTTCTGCAAAGTCTGGAAAATTTGAACCTTTCACAAAGCTCAAAATGTACTGTAAACACTGGATTGCTGCACCTAGCATCTACATGCTTCAAAAGTAGAGAGTGCTTCAAGCCAGTCAAAGTAGTGGCTGGAATGTAGTCCACTTTTTTTTTATTCCACTTTTTTTATTTCTCTAGACTGGAAAAGGAAATAAATGACAAAATAAAATCATAACAGACTTACTATCTGTATCAGAAGTCCACAGAGTCAAATTGTCACGTAGAAGCTGCATTATCAAAGTGCTGTCTTTGTAGGAATCTTCATTCAGGGTATCCAGGTCACTGATTGCATTGTCAAAGGCCTCCTTTGCGATTTCACAGGCTCTTGGTGGGTTGTCATTGATTTCATAATGAAACACAGAGAAATTTAAGAACAAACCCAACCGTATTGGGCTTGTTGCTGGAAGTTTCTCGGCGATTTTCACTGCAGAATCATAGGCTTCCAATGCCTTTTTTTTAGCTTCTTCTTTCTTATCCCCACTAGCTATTTCAGCTAGATATCTGAAATAGTCACCCTTCCTGTTAGATAAAGAACATTTATCATATCAGTTAGTAGGCGGAAGTAAAAACGTTGAAGTATGTGGCAGTATTGCAGTTTTCAGACAAACTGTGCATTGCAAAATAAAAGATAATTTCAGAACAAAGTTGACATGAAAGTTGAAATCCAAGGCATAGCAACAATTTATTTCATACATGCATAGATTTACACTGTTGGTACTTCACAGTGTTCATCCCAGTATGTATGGAAAAAAAAAAAAAAATCATACCATGGAAAGTGCTTGAACTTTTATTCACTTCTTGCAATTCATCAAAAAAATCACCTGCTCGCTCATTTATTACCTTTTTTATGCATCCAACTTGTGAATAATAAAAATCGTTCATGCACACTTTCCATGGAATAATCTCTATTACTTCTATACAAGAACCTTTTTTTCAGGCCAGAAGAGTGGAATATTTGAGAGAAGTTTCCACGCCACCCCTAAAGGCAGGAGGCTACCTGACTCCCACAGATGAATATTGTTACTGGTCATGATATTGATACGTGTGTCAGTGTCTGATCAAACTCAATGTTCCGATACCTGAAGGGTTATGTCAATTTGGAGTTTGGTGGGTAGAGCAAGTGCAGTGAAACTTTTATTTAAGTGCTCATCCACCGGGAGTGACAGTTGACTGTTTCAAGAAGATTCCACTGAACAGGAGAAATTGCCAGGTCACTAAGCTACTGTAATCATTCGATGAAAACAAGAATTCACCAATGAAAACAGCAGCAAAGCTGTAAGGAAAAATGTCTGCTCTACATATCAGAAGATACAATAGAAATCAGCCCCACTAGGTTTCTCTTTAAGCCATGTAAAACTCGAACACAATTAGAACTGGTTTTGTGAACTCTGTTTTCCTAAATGGACTTCAGGCAATTGTTAAACTAATTTCTTGGATTGCTTGGGTCAGGTCTTTGTCTATGATCCGTGTATAAGTCAAGGGTGATTTTTCGGGCTGATTTTTCGGTCATAAAGGGTCGACTTTTACACGGATAATTATGGTATAAATATTACTAACATTGATTTTGAGAGAAGAACATGGATTAAATTTTACTTGAAAAGTTTTTCTCCATTTTATTTGACTGATTTTTCTCTAAGTAACCTTTCAATACAGGTGAAGACAATACAAAGCGTAAACTCAAAGAAACAGGCATGCTACAGTTAATTTCTTAGGATGGGTTGGTTGCAATGGGACACAAAGTAACTGATGTTTGCAATTCGTAAAATATAAAAAAAAACATTAACTTATATATAAAAAAAAACATTAACTTCAAAAGATTCCAACAAAAGGATCACTCAGTAGAGAAGAAAAAAAAACCTTTCCAAATTATCTGAAAGACTCAGACACAGGTGTGTTGTGGTCTATTTTCACTGATGTCAGAATAAATGAAAGCAAAACTTAACTGCATTGATGCCATACTAACTGTAGTCTCCTTCGCAGCTGTTGTTTGGTCTTGTCACACAATAAATTATGTTCTTCCCACCCATTGTATGATGGGACCAAACAACAGCTGCAAAAGAGGATACAATTGCCTGCAAGGAGGCACTCATTTAATCAGCAATCAGGTAAAGAGCACTTTTCCCTCTGTGGGAAAATAATAATGAGGCCTTCACCAAGACAAGCCTGCAAGAGCTCTAGCACTGATAATTAGTGCCAGATCCCAACAACTTTCTCCCTGACTTGTCTTAAATCTTCTCACAGGCAAAGACACCAGTGATCTGCACCCTAACAGGGCTATCTGATTGGTGCGAGATACAAACCCCAAAGCAGCAATCTGATTTGATGGGAGCAACACACCAGTGGAAACACTAACAAAGAGGTGTTCTGATTGACAGTTTTCATGGGTTTGCCCTAAAATTTAAAAATCATCTAGACCATAATTTCCACTGATTACTCACTGGAAATTTGATAGTTTATCAGTAAACAACTATTGCTGTTGGTAAAAGGAAGGTGTGGCAAAGGATGATGAAGTTTCCAGTTGATCTGCACATTATTACAGAAGTGGTTAGAAGTGGGGTCAGTAGATAAAGGCTTTATGAGTTAGTCCTCTTGTCTGAGAACATAACACATTAACCCACCTAGGTCTCTAACCCTGACCTTCTGACTTGGTTTCCAACACAACCTCATCACCACAGCTTCTCCCTGGAAACTATGTAGACTATACTTAACAGATGACTTACATTTTATGGAAAAAAACCTTGGATTCATCGTTTTGGGAGTTAGGAATGAGGTCATCTTCCAGGAGACTAAGAATTTCTTTACAGATGTCTTGAAGCTCACTTTCAACTTTTTCCCTGTAGTTTCTGATAGACTCACACTTGCCATCATTTCCACCCTCCTTTCCTTTTTGCTCCAAGGAAGATATGATGCGCCATGCTGCTCTTCTTGCCCCAATCACATTTTTATATGCAACAGACAGTAGGTTGCGCTCTTCAACAGTCATTTCCATTCCACTTGAGTCCTTGGCAACTAACTTCATGAATTCAGCCATTTCTGAAAAAAGGAACACAGGTTTTTCATTAAGAAATGTAGTATCAGGAAAATCAGGGTCTGAAATTGCAACTAAGGGGTTGACTGCTATTTGAAATCTTGACTTCTTTCATCCAAATATGGAAACAAAAATTATTACACAAGAAATGGAAAATCCATAATCTTCAGTAAGCACTCGTATACCTCAGTATGCACATTCTCCATACTGTTTTCCATACAAATTGATGAAGAAAGACAGTAAGTTTTGAGCTCCGTAAAGAAATAGAGAATGATGTTTTTCATCTTGTCATGAGTGTAGGTCAAAGAAAAAATTCTGAGCTCCCATGAGGAATCAAACCTCAGACCTTCAGATTCCATGCTTTTGAGGTTTGATCCACACTCCGAAGGTCTGAGGTTCAGACCTTCAGATTCCATGCTTTTGAGGTTTGATCCACACTCCAAAGGTCTGAGGTTCAGACCTTCAGATTCCACGCTTTTTAGGTTTGATCCACACTCCAACGGTCTGAGGTTCAATTCCTCATGGGGAATTTTTCCTTTGTCCCATGCTCATGACAAGACAAAAAAAAAACATCTTTCTCTATTCTCCATACATTTCCTTAAGTGCTTACAAGGAAAATTTGTTTAACAATCTAGAGCTTATAAGTTGGTGATTATTTTCTTAATTCTTAAAAACTTTGTGATTCAGGGTGATATTGCAAGTAGAAATTAGATGCCTTCACACTTAGAGGTCAAAGAGTTAAGCAGAGAAATGTCTTTGAAACTTCACTTTTTTGTAGTTCGCTTTGAGCTGACAATTTAGTAATCTCAGATTTCTTTTGCTACCAAATTGTTCTGACTAAGGCTGAAAACAAAACTTTTTAATTGCCCAGTGCCCTGGGATGGAGGGTTTACAATATCGCTATTTAGCAACAACAACAATATTCATCATTATTACATGACTCAGGAAGTCAGAGGGCCAATAACTAAAATCAACCAATCAAAATGCTCTATTGCCGGTCAATATTCTCTCTGTATTGGACTGGGCACTGTCCCGAATGGTCCCGAATGATACCGCACTTGTATCCCTTTGAACTTCAGTCATGTAATAAATCTCTTATTAACCAAGCTTGCTTGGGACCGTACTGGAAGAATATCTGCCCTCTGTCTTTTTTGTACGGACCTTGCTGCACTCGGTCCATACTGTCAAGACCTCGGGCCGATATTCTCCCAGTATGGCCCTCGAGCTTGGTTAATAAGATATATTTACTACAATATAGCCAGTGGTCAAAATGTTGTGGACTCACTCCACAACAAATATTGACCACTGCCATGACAAATATTGTGGTCAATAAGAGTACAGAGCACGCTAAACCACTTTCCAATTGTTTTTTTTACCACAACATAACTGCAAACTTTCTGAGTCATCCATGTTTGAGAGCTGATAAAGGCATTGCATGACAACAGTACAATACTGCCAATTCCCTTACTGAATGGATGTAGATATATAAAGTATCTGCAACTATCTGTCTCATATCTGTTACAGTACTGCACAATGTCTGTAATGGTTTTATTCATATCTGCAGCATATCTGCAATTATGTTTGCAGATATTAAACAGATATGTAGGAACTTCTTTCAAGTATCTGCAAAGTATCTGGGGAAATTGACATATATTTAACATATATGTAGGTGATCAAACAGGGTGAGTTAGAAATCGAGGACCCATCTTTTGTCAACACATGCCAGTCATGATATTTGAATAGTCCATTTTACAGTTGTGTGCTTGGTTGCCAAGCCTTTGAATAGGAGTGAGGCGAGGGATGACCTTGTTATGATACAAACCTTGCTGCCTTTCAAATGTAAATCACTTTGTTATCATGCTAACTAGATACACTGGTCTCTATCACAACAAGGTCATCTTTAGCCTCACTCTGAATAAAAGGCTTGGCAACTAAGTACACAACTGTAAAATGGCCTATTTTCCCCTACTAGGAGACCATATTTGGCTAAATGCTGACCAAAAATTGAGTGTCCAAACTACTGCACTTTTAAAACTACTAAGATCTTTATGCAAAATAGCATATTGATTGAGTGACATGTAACTGTTTGCAAAAGGGGTCTTCTCAGCCATGGTGTCTTTAAAGTGCTACTGAAATGAAATTTTCGTATCTGAAATACTTGCTCTAACCTGTAGTGTGAATATGCTGATCATCATGAGATAATTTGCTTTGGCCAAAAAGAAGCGAAAGAAATCTTTTTTAACCGTTCAAATCAAAAATTTTCCACAAAACCATGTCCGGGTCCTGGTACCGAGCGAAATGGATTGATGACGTCACTGGTCGTGTTCACTCCGATAGCGTGGTTTATTTCACTCACTGTTTGTTTGTATTCGTGGGCAAAGGAGATGGCAGATATTGAAGTTTTGTCAAGTGAATCTTCTTCTGAACGAAGTGAAGTCGTCTCCAGTAGTGAAGACAAAGATGGTGGCATAAAATGGAATTGACAGGCCTACACGACTCCCAAGCGTGTGTTTAGAGTAGCCTATTCAAAGTTTAGCCCTCATGAGTATGTCTTTGAGCGACCGCCCTCTTTTGTAAGATACGAGCGGCGGATTTTTGTATAGTTCGCTCAGTAGTGGTTGTGTTTCTATTAAATGCCAGTTTTTCATGAGAATTTGCTTT